TAAGAGACAAAGATATAGGGCTGTATAAGAATTTTTTGTCTTTTCCTTCACCTGTCTTGTTTGGATCTATGATATTCTAAGTGTACCTAAATATTTAGCAGTCATAGTTTGATGGTTCTTCAGCACTATCAGAAATCGAGCTGCTACAGTCTATTGATTCCTGTCTTGGTGGTTTAAGGCCATTTCTCTGAAAAAGTTGTTGGATGCTGAGGAAAACAGTTGTAGGCATAGCTGTGGTTTACATACCTGATTTTAAGTCTAGGGCCCAGCTGAGGTGGAAATTAATGGCTATGGAGCATTCTGTGTGTTGAGAAAGATGATTGAAATTTATCCCAGATCAGGAAGATTCAGGAGGAGGAATGGGGAATTATGTCTGGCCAATTTTTACTGGAGTAGAGTAGCTACAGTCTACTGTGTATTTACAGGTCAGAGCAATGGCTTGATCTAGGTTTAAAAAAATTAATAAACTCAGTTTAATGTACAGTAAGGTAGTTTCTAGAGAAGTATGTTACTTTAATCTTTTTCTCTTCATTAGGAATGAGTGTCTAATGTACTAGAAGAATCACATTTTATTTAGAATTTTTTCTTGTATGTGGTGTTCTTCATCTCTTCCTTATTAACTTCCAGTATCATTGTCATCTAGTATTTATGTGGCTTGGGTGTTTGCTGCATACTGCTTCTCTATATTGAATGATCAAATGAGTTGGAAGATGCCCATGAAGTCCTTCAGTTTGTAACTATGTATAGAACAGGACTCCTTTTCCCTTCCCCTTCCCCCTCCTTTCCGTTTCCCCCTCCTTTCCGTTTCCCCCTCCTTTCCCCTTCCCCCTCCTTTCCCCTTCCCCCTCCTTTCCCCTTTCCCCGCTTACATTCTAGCTCCATTTTGAAGACAGCTTAGCTCCACTCTGAATTCTTTTTTTTGTCCATAGAAGAAGCTGCTAGATATTTTATGACGATTGCTGACTGGCTACAACCATAGGAACACAAACAGAAATTTAAATTTGTTAACTGAAAAAGTGTCATTAACCAGCCATTTTAATGTTTGGCCAAGATTAAGCATTGTGTAAAGTGTTAGTCATCTACACTGCTTCTTAGACTGCTTTTTTGCTTCCTATCATGAGCTCAGAACATCATTTCTTTAAGCCCAATGTGGTGTTGGCACCACTTAAGTGCGCTCTGGGCTTAGGTGCTTTAGAACGAGTTTGAAGGCTGGCTTTCCAGTTATGTGAAGTTAGTAAAATTACAAACACAGCATAGTATCCTATAATAACTTGTTTGAGGTGACTGTAACTCCTAGTTCAGTGGTTAAAGAATTTAGCTCACTATAAGATAATAGATACCCAACTGCAAAATGAACTGTAACTGTGGAAAATCGGAAAGCTGTGGATTTCATCTTGCTGCTTTGGGTAGTTAGGCTATCAAACAAAGACTACTTTTGCCTATATTTTAGTACCAGAATATGATTAACGTGTGATGCTAAGATCAGTTCTACTGCCCAGACCCCTGCAGCATACATTCCAGATTTTGAAGACCTGTCTTAAACAGTAATGTTTTATTTATTTTATTCTGTCTAATGAATTTTGTGGTCTTTCAGCTTTAAATTGAAACAGTGTAGCAGAACACATGAAACTAATTCCTTGTGATAAAGAATAATGTAGACTCAACTATGCATATCAGCATAACTACTAGTAAATTATGTGGGTATTTTATATCTTCTATGGTAATGGCATATGATATTTTGTGCTGATTGTGTACTGTTCTCAAATATTTTTCTATTTCTTGTGCATAATTTTTTAGTTATCCTAATCTTCTATTTTATTCAAAAGCATTTTTAAAAACAGAGCCATGTGAAAAAATACCAGAGCAAGCATAGTCAAAAAATATACTAGATCAAGGATTATATTTGATATATTTGCTGTTAAAAAATAAAAAAAATAAAAAAAATTGGTGGGGAGTGCATTCTTGTATTTATTTCCTGTATTGAGCTCCTCCTGTACCTTTAATGCAGGCCTAAAAGAAAACTAGTCAGCTAGGCTTTTTAACTGTAGCATTTTCTTCTCATTTCCATAGGCATGTAGTCAGTTGTGGAAGAAAGAGAGGCTACCACACAGCTTTCTTTTATTTCCTTCTCTTCTAGACTTTGCATATCACAGGCACCAGATGTTTTCCTTTGCAGCTTTACCATGTTCTACTTTTCAATGTGGCATTAGACAGAAAGTGAAATGGGAAGGGTGATGAAAGAAGCAGTTAGCATTGGCATAACATTGAACTTCTTAGAGATTAAATATAAATTAATTTATCATTTACTGAGCATTGGATTGGAAACCATTTTTTATTTTAACAGCACAAAGTCATATTACACCACCAAAACTTCTGCCAAATACCACATTTATATATGAAGTTGTGAAAGTCATTTTTTCTAGTATTAATTTTGGTTTTATGGTAATTAGGTCTATGCAACATGGACCCATGAAGGAGAACTGGTTTTCACTTGGAGCTGCACAGAGCATCTCATGTATAGTTGAATACTTGATTTAGAAAGACAAAGGGCATCACTAAAATTCTTGAGGAAATTTAGCAAAAAATAAATAACTCAGTAGCTAAACCCATTATATTCTTTAAGACCTAGAAGCAATTTTAAACTGGAATATACAATTTCTGGTTGTTTTTTATTAATCTGTCACTGTAACTTTGACAGAAATATCCCTGCTGGTTTTAGCACTGTCATATTACTTGCTTATTATTGGTTAGCTGTGGCAGAGCATTGTGTTTTTCAGAAAATTAACACCATGATAAAATATTGGTGATTTATGCTATACTCCCAGGCCTATTGAGGTAGATCTCATGTAGCCAGGTTTCTTCTGACCATCGTGTAGTGTATTTTTTTTATTCTCAAGTGAACTTAATTTGGGGATTTAAACATGATGCCAGAAATCTACCAAGAGAGAGCTGTAGTGCTGTACTGGTGCTCTCTTTGAGCTGGGGAAAAGGTGCTGTTTCTTAGGAGTATTGTAATTTTGCTGAAGTTATGTCTAAAGGGGGGAAAGCCTTAGGTGTATAGTTTATTAGAACTATATCTGGGTATCTGGGTGCTATAAAAAATACTTGAGACTATTTAAGGAAGATACAGGCTAAAGTCTTAAAGTCTTTAGCATTGCAAAATGCTAACTCCTGACTAGAGTTGGTTCAACCTGGAGAAGCTCAGCTCTTCATCTTCTAGTCACTGTTTTGTGTAATATAGAAATGATTGTACTAAAAAAAAAATACGTTTAGAAAGGATGGCTTTAGATTTTTTTTTTTTTCTTCCTGAAACTGGTCTATTTTCTGGTAACAATGTCTTGTTGGGTATTCTTTTACCTTTATGGTATGTACAATCTTCACAAATTTTATTTCTAACATTAAAAAATGAGTACAAAAGACAAATGCTGTAAACAGATCATCAGTTAGGCTAATCTATCTTTTTGTGCCTTAACAGGCTGATTCAAACTCTTGAACACAATGATAGGATAAATCTGTTTTTCAAAAAGAGGAATTCATATTTGTCTTTTTAAAAAATTATCTCTGAGCTTGATGTAGATTCTTCTAAAAAGCAAAGATTTTTATTTTAATTAGTTGTAGCCACTTTTATTTTTCTAGGTAAGTTGAAGTTACTTTTTTTAGGAATAATAGATTAGCTTTCTGTTATGTATTGTACTTACAAACTTGTATATGAAGTGTCTTCTAAGAATTTTTAATACCATGGCAACATTTTTTGATTAGACCTTCATTGTAAAGTTTTCAGTATAAATAATAGTGAAAAAAACAGTGGTAGGACAAAGAAACCAGTGATAGAAGTAAATACAAAATGACCTAGTTTCTTTAGCATAATAAAATCAGTGCAAGAAATATATTCTATAACTTTTTTTTTTTTTTTCACTGAAAGTTCTAATGTGGAAGCAACAGAGACATTTTCAGTGATCCTTTTGGGCATTGAATAATATTCTCTTCATTTGCCAAAATAGGATTAGTGAGTAGATCTCAGTAGGAATTTGCACATGACTTTATTTTTAAATAGATAAAAGGGAGTGAATTCCTCAAAGTCAAAGAAAGTTGGGAAAATAATATCTAAGAATCCAAGCAGGTAGAAAGCATTACTGCAAGGATATTTTTTTCAGTGCCTGTCAGGCAAAATTAGCTTGCCTTCTTTCTTAAGGGGATGTATGCTAAGTATCAGCATCAGAAACGCTTCTGGTAACTTAATGAATAAGATCCACAGCAAAATATAATTGAACATAGAAACAATTTAAATTTTTTTTTTTACTTGAGTACAGTCTTAAGAAAAGAAAATATATAATGGTGGTAATGTTTGTTTCATTTTCATTAGAAGTTACTCATGAATCTATTTGTTGATAATCTTTGTAGAAAGAAGTCTCATTATTAAAAAAGATAGAAATGTAATGTTTTTGTTATATACAAAGCTATTTGTAAAGGCATCCTTCATTCTTCATGGCATATTTATGACCTGAACTTCTACCCCATCACACTTTAATCCTCAGAAATGTATTTATAGTCCAGGTTTTCAAAAATAGAATTTCACAACATAGATTAGTCATCACCTTCCCCTTCTGCTTCCTTTGAAATTAATACTACTTAAAGCACCCATTAAAATTGTTCCTGAACTCACTGAGTGTGTAAAGATTGTTGGATAATATCACTGTGTTTCAACAACAATTTTTCTCTGTGGTGCATAGAACAGGTATGAGTATTCGTGAGCAAATGAAAAATAAAAAATCTTGTAGGCTCAAATAATTGCTTTACCATTTTATAATCTGATAGTATTAAAGCTATTTTTATATGCCATCTTGAAAACAAGATGAGGTTTAATTGTTTACATCTGATACTTGGAATACTTGTATCTGTTGGAGAATCGATGTCCTGTGTCATAGTCACAAGTTAATTTATAGAGAAAAAGAAGTGATTGCAGTCATTAACACTAATGCATATGTGTATACAATTCTTAGACATATGAAGGACCAAAACAAGAAGGTTGCCAATCTGAAGCACAATCAGCAAATGGAGAAAAAGAAGAATGCACAGTTGTTGGAAGAAGTTCGTAGGCGAGAGGACAATATGACTGACAACTCTCAACATTTACAAGTGAGTTTATTTTTCAATCGTGTTTTAAAGCCATCAAAGATAGTACACTTCTGTTTCACTGTGTGTCTTCCAGGATGTATAATGAATCTCTTCCCACAAAGAGCTGATGGCTTTCTCCTTTCCTACCAGAGGATGCACTACTGATTTCAGTTGCATCCTTGAAATATTTACTATTTAGGGTGAGGAAAAAACTATAGAATTTGAAGCCATCTCCTCACAAGGACTGTATTTTACTTATTTAAAAGCAAGTAAGTCATTAAAGCTTGTTTTGAGGAGAGTCAGAAAAGAGAAGGATAATTATCCTTTCTGGATTCTATTCCTATGCTATTCACAGCATTATATCCACAAGCCATCATGAGGTTATATAGTGTGGTTATGAATGTTCAGCATGTTTGAATATTACATAGCAATGTGCTGCGATTTTTTTTTTTTTTTTTTTTTTTTTTTTTTTTTTTTTTTTTTTTT